CCCCAGGCAGTAAACAAATCACAAAGTTCATTAATTCAAAGTACCGAACGTCAATTCATACAGTGTAAACTAACATTACCTACAGTGTAAGAATGGGAAAGTGGGAATTAATTTTATTTTAATTTTTAATGTACTCTTGACTGCTCATAAAAGATATTAAACATTAACATAATTTAATATATATACGCTGGCATTTATTAAACCACTGATTCATGAACAAATTAAGCATCATGTATTTTTTAAGTATTTCAGAATCAATAGTGATAATTAACTGGAATGTCAGAGGAAGTCATTATCAACAAATTCTGCAGAATCCCCCACAGATTATGCAACCCATATGCTGAAGGACCGTGCAAGGTTGCCATCAGCTGCCTGATCAGCTCAAGAGAGGTTGGAAGACATCATGCCTTCACTTGTTCGGATGAATCAGTGAGCCAAACTTCGTGACAGATCAGGAGGTGAGTTCCACCCTTGATGCCACTTTCCCTAACAGGGAGAGATGTGTTTCCCGAGTTTAGGCAAATCAAGCTGCGCTATGGAGTTCTGCCTACAGCATAGGCATCACTAATGATGCAGAAGGGCAAACCACACTGGGAGTGTCGCTTCGTCTGAATGACTGTCACCACTCTATGACATGTCATTGCTGAGCTCTTCAAAGTTGAGGGACCTGACTTGAATTTAGGTTTTAAAATATTTTTTAATTTTTGAGTAATTTTGTAAATGTATTGATGAGAGAGAAGAGAGAGACACTTTTATTTATGCATTCATTGGTTGCTTCTTGTATGTGCCCTGACCAGGGATCAAACCTACAACCTCGGTGAATGGGGATGACGTTCTAAACAACTGAGCTACCTGCCAGGGCTGAATTTTTTATTTTTTATTTTATTTTATTTTTTTTAATTTATATATTTTATTGATTTTTGTACAGAGAGGAAGTGAGAGAGACAGAGAGTTAGAAACATCAATGAGAGAGAGTCATCGATCAGCTGCCTCTTGCACACCCCCCACCGGGGATATGCCCGAAACCAAGGTACATGCCCTTGACCAGAATCGAACCCGGGGCCCTTCAGTCCCCAAGCCAACGCTCTATCCATTGAGCCAAACTGGTCCCGGCTGAATTTTTATTTTTTAAATACAAAATTTAACTCAGAATAAGGAGCAAATTAGGATGATTTTTCACTAAAAGGAAAAAGTTGTCACTCTGAGGACTGGATTAGTTGGTAAATCCAATCAGGGGCTAAACATAGACCGAAGTGTTGGGTGTTTTCCCCTAGTTGTACAGTGTATTTACTCACAAAATTCCCAGTGGTTGATGTTGAATTTGAGCACTGGATTCTGAGCTGCTGAAAAAAGAATCAATTGTCTCTGAAATTTGTCAGTATATTGTTTTGTATTTTTCTGCTCTAATAGGGCCTTTTGGCTTAAATTATCTAGTTTAACAGGCTAGCATGATCAAAATAATAAAATGATTGCCAAGTGTCCACTAAGTACACCCATAAATTCTATCAGTTTGTTAATATTTATTTAGGTTCATAATTTCCCCCCAAATGAATCACTTGCACTTAAGCTTATAATCTGCCTCATGTCAGTGGCCTCTTTGCTGGTGCGCTCTGTAGAGCCACTTTGGCTCATAGTTTGCAATTATTTATACAAAAAAATTATTAACCAGAAATTGTACTTTATTTAAATAATTCTGGAAGAAATAATTTTGGGACTGGACTATTCTTTTGTAAATAACTTCTTTCTCCTTTTTTATAAAGGTAAGAATATTCATTATATAATATGTTATTCATTATAATAAAGGTTAAATGCATATATTTTCCACAACTCCACTGCCCAGATGTTACCTTGTTTATTTTGGGATGCATAAACTTTATTTTTCAAATATACATATATTTTCCCCACAAGTGTGGTCATACTAAGCCTATTGTCTTAAAACCTTTAAGAAACATGTTTTATCATAGTAGCTCTCCATATTAATAAGTATAAATGGATCTCATCACTTTTTAAAAAGTATATATATATTTTTATTGATTTTAGAGAGAGGAAAGCAGAGGGTGAGAGAAAAATATTGATAGGTATCAATAGTTGTCTCAAAACCTCCTACTGGGGATTAAGCCAGCAACCTAGGTATGTGCCCTGACCAGGAATCGAACCATCTTTTGATACACGGGACAACACCCAACAAACTAAGCCACACTGGCCAGGGTGATTTCATCACTTTTAAGGCTACATAACATTTTACTGTATAGACCTTTAGGTCTTTTTAAATTTTCATTATTTTTTATGGACTGAATTATGTTCCTCCAGAATTCATATGTTGAAGACCTCAGCGTGACTGTAAGGTTAAATGAGGTCACAGGGTAAGGCCTTAATCCAGTATTCATATGGCATCTTTATATGAAGAAGAAGCGCCGCCAGAGCAAAGTCCATGTGAGGACACAGTGAGACCTGGCTGTCTGCAAGCGAGGAAGAGGTCTCACCAGAAACGAACCCTGCCAACACCTTGATCTTGGACCTCAAACCTCCAAAAAATAAATGCCTGTTGTTTAAGTCACAGTTTGTTTTTCAGTTATGGCATCCATAGCAGTCTAACACACCATTATAAACCCAATAGCTGCCTATTTGAGGTAAATTCCTAGAAAAGAACTTGTTAGTTCAAAAGTATTCTCCATATCTTCTCCTTTCCCCCTCCATCTGCCTTTATTATTTTCTCCTTTGACTTTCTTACACATATTGCCAAATTCCCATCCAGAAGGTTTCTACCCAGGTATCTTCCCACTCTCGGTGTATGTCTGTCTTCTGTACCTACTGGAATTTTCAGTCTTTTAAATCTTCACTATCATCTATTGTGATGAAATTTACATTTCTTTGACATTAAAAAGAGCATTTTCTACATTATTATTTGCATATCTTGGTTTGTGAATTGCATTTTCATTCCATGTTCCCATTTTTATGGGGGAGTGTCATATTTTTCTTATTTATAAGATCTTTATATGTTTTCAGATATTAACTCAGATGATGTAGTTCTTAAACATTTTTTTATTGCTTCACTTTTTATATTTGTTTCTAACAGGTTTATTTTTGTAGTGTAGAAGTTTAAAATCTTAATTTGGTAAAACTTATCAACATTTTCTTTTCAGAATTTCTAGCTTTGGTGTCATGTTTAGAAAGATTTTATTTGTCCCAAGATGTAAAAATTACCTATATTTTTCTCATTTTTTGCATGTGTTGTTAAAATATTTAATCTCTGACCCAATTAGAATCTATTTGAAATTAAGGAGAACTAGGGCTACAATAACATTTTCTGAATTAAGTGTTAATTAAGTTACATTACTCTGAATTAAAATTTATTTTGAGATTATTATTACCTCTTTGCTGATTTGAAATGTCATATATATGATAGAGTACGTTCTGTTTCTGTACTCTGTATTCTGAGCTATTATGTCTACCTTGTTTTAAACCAATTCTATACCATTCAAATTACTGTGGGCTATTACAGCAATATATTTTAAATCTGGTAGGGCAGGCTTACTTGACTATTTAAACGACATTCTCAGTTCATATCGCAAGTTATAAACCATAGTTGGGGTGTGATGAAAAGAGTGTTGCTATTACCAGTCGAGTCTTTTATTTCATCGCGGCTGCAATTATACTGAACAAATGTCTCTTCCATGGTCCCACCACATCATCTCATGAACATTATCTGCTAATGTGTGCACTTCTCATCCTGGATTACGAGGTCCTTGAAGGCATCTTAAATGATGTTTCTCTCACCTGAGATGGTATTTTATTATCAGTGTAGAGGATAGTACTTGGCATGTAGTTGAAAAATATTAATGTTGTGTTTTTTAAATAAAAAATAAGGAGCTTTTTAAATTTCCCATCTGTTTTGGTAACTTTCCCTTATTTCAGTTGATTAAGTTTTATTTTGCATTGAAGCATCATGTCAGTATCTCAAATTCTTGAGTTAATTAATCTAAAATTCTTATAAGTTGTTTATAAAACTACTAGAGGCCTGGTGCATGAATTTGTGCACGATGGGCACCCATTGGGCCAAACCAGCAGGGGGAAGGGTCATAGGCAGTTGGTCAGCTGGGACCAGATCTGGCCGGTTGGCTGCTGCAGTGCGCATCATTCCACAGTTACAGTTGCTGGGCTTTTATATATATAGATGATTTGAAATAGGTCATCTTTGTTTAATAAGCCTGCCTTTGGTGACTTTATTCCAACAAATGTTAAACACTTACTATATTCTGTAGAAGATCTTGCAGGTTGGGTTCCCAGTGGCTGTGTCTAAAGGGACCGAATGAAGGAGGGAGTGTTTGTTACATTATGTTTTGGTCAGGGCTGAAACATGTCTAGTTCTGATTCTAATTTTATTTCTGGAAATGGTTTTTCCTGATCTTATTTTCTACCACAGTGAAAGGAGAGTATAGAGAAGAGAGTTGAATCTCCTCCTCTTTTCTCAGTGGGTACACAGGGATTTCCATTTTTTTCTAAAATATATATATTTTTTAAATCAGGGGTTTTCGGGCTCCGCACACTTGACATTTGGGGCCAGATAATTCTTTCTTGGGCTGTCCTGTACATTGTAGAATGTTTAGCAGTATCTCTGGCCTCTGTCCACTAGCTTTAGTACCACTCCCCAGTTATGACAACCAAAAATATTTCCACACATTGCCAAATGTCCCCTGGAGAGGAAAATTGCCACTCCCTTCACCCCAATGAGAACCATGGATTTATAATAATAATAATAATAATAAAAGCACAAATAGAATAAATTAAGGAAAAAGGAGAAACTGTTAATACGTGCTAAAGTGAGGACAGGGGTGAGCACACAATAATATGTTGTATTACTTTATATCTGTAAACTCTTCCCAAAGACTCAAAAGGAAAATGTATCTTGTTAGTCGTTTATATAGGAGATCTAAATCTTTTAGCTTTTGGATAGTTGAAAGTGATGTTTCCAATAAACTCTTGTCTTCCTTCCACCACAGGTTGGACACACCCTGGCAGAATCAACCCATGGGGATGCTGCTCCTTGATCTGCCACTTCATACATGTTGTTCAGAGATGATGGCAATTTATCCTCGCTCCTGATGCTGTACTTGGCCCAGTTTATTGTTCCTGCCTGATTTCCAGCAATCCATGACACCCCCTCCTTCATATTCCTTTCTGTCTGATCCATTCTTTATACTTCCAGAGAGTGATTTTTCTAAGACTCAAATAGTTGAGATTCCCGTATTTAAACTCCTTCAAAATAAGATCCAAACACCTTAGAATGGTGCAATAATTGCTGTGTGATTCCTCTGCATATCGCCTGGAGTTGGCACAGACTTATGGGAACTGTCCTTCATAAGACTGCTCTCGCTTCAGACGCCAGGCACAAGTTCAGAGATCCCCAGGCTACGCCCACTTCTGACCAACTGGCTACAAATTCGGAGGTTCCCTTAATTACCTAAGATATGATGATCCTTTGCTAGAACATTTGATAAACAGAAAAGTGGATAATGCATGATTATAGTTTAATGAGAAAGGGCACATATCAGGACCAGACACAATGAAGAGACACATAGGATGAGATCAGGAGCGTCCTGGATGTCAGGCTTCTGAGCACTTTCCTTGTGGAATCAGGATGCACCACCCTCCCGCACACGGATGTGCTCACCAACCAGGAAGCTCACCGGAGCCTTGGTGTCTCGAGTTTTATGCGAGTTTCATTATGTGGGCATGATTGAACGCCATCTCCAGCGCCCATCCACTGCCTAGAGGTCAGCTGGTTCAAAGCCCAACCTTCTAATCACACAGTCTGTGGGGAGACCACATCCTGAGTGGTATTGTTAGCATAAACTCAGGTGTGGTCAGGGACCCACCATAAATAACAAAGAATCACTCGGGAAATTCCAAGGATTTGGTGCTTCCCTCTGAAGAACCAGGGACAAGAACATTCAGGTCCTACCTGAGCCGTTCTTCCCAGCTCACCCCATCCTCTCTCATTTCAGTGCCCGGCTGAGCGTCCTTGAACACACCTTGCTGTTGTAGACCCTGCCCATGCTATTTTCTCGGCTCACATTTGCTTTCTCCTTGGTCTGTCCATAGACTTCCTCCTTATCTGTCAAGACACAGGTAAGCTGCTCCACCTCTGTGGAGCCCTCCCAGGCACATAACCCCCACCTCCCCAGTGCTGGCTGAACTCCTGGTTCATTTGTAGATTATCTTTGCACTTACATCTTCGGGCCAGAGTTGTTTGTTGGGATGCCTGTATGTATGCTGGTACATAGTGTAGTGACTTTCCTGAGCAAGTGTTTTGTGGGGCTTTGCCTTTATTATTGGAAGTTATACTTGTCTTTTTAGAACGTGTCCTCTGGTCCTCCTTCGCTGTCCTTTCTGGCACCTCCCTCCTCAGGCTCTGGCGCAGTGGCAGTTCATCGTTACAAACACCCCCCCTTAGCTTCTGATGGATGAGCAAAGCGGCCATCGAAGATGTGTGGCTGACAGTCCTGCCTAGCCATTCCTGTTTTGGCGAAGTCGTGGATAACGTTGATGAGATGACACAAGTAAGGTTTTATTTTATTTTTAAATATATTTTTATTGATTTTTTTCACAGAGAAGAAGAAAGAGGGATAGATATAGTTAGAAACATCGATGAGAGAGAATCATCGACCAGCCGCCTCCTGCACACCTCCTACTGGGGATGTGCCCGAAACCAATGTATACGCCCTTGACCAGAATCGAACCTGGGATCCTTCAGTTTGCAGGCCGAAGCTCTATCCACTGAGCCAAACTGGTCTCAGCACAAGTAAGGTTTGTTGAATATCTAGAAATAAGGCATGGTTAAGTATATCATGATCCCATCCCTTAGGTGAAGTATTTTACACATAAAACATGTTTATGAGATTTGAATTAAAACAGAGAGATGCTTGTGTATTTATTATACTTGGAAGAAAAGCAATCACAATCATGATGAAAAAAATATATAAACTAAGACACCTGAGAAGCATAAAAGAAAGGAAGAAAGAAAAGGCCTGTGTAGAAATACTCCAATAGTATTCGTCTTTGGGTAATGGAAATTGGGTGACTATTGCCCATCTTCTAGATATGTTCCTGCTTTTAAAACGTTTTCTGTATCAAGCAGGTATTGCATGCTTAAAATAAGGAGAGGATAGTTCCTCTCTGTGTTCCCAAAGAAGTAGGCAAAGGTGAAATCAATTTAACTTAGGTACTTCCACCTGCAACTGGAAGTTTACAGGTAAGAAGATTCACACATTTGCTTTTTTTTGGCGATGAGAGGAGGCGGCGAGAAGAGAGGTGCAGATGGGAATGAAGGGGGAGGAAATACACCAGCCACTCCTGCCCCACACTGAGGAGAACTGCCAGAAAGACAAAAGTCAACCAGGTAAAAGGGTTTTTTTAAAAAATATATTTTTATTGATTTTTTTTACAGGGAGGAAGAGAGAGGGATAGAAAGTTAGAAACATCAATCAGCTGCCTCCTGCACACCCTCTACTGGGGATGTGCTTGCAACCAAGGTACATGTCCTTGACTGGAATCGAACCTGGGACCCTTCAGTCTGCAGGCTGATGCTCTATCCACTGAGCCAAACCGGTTTTGACTAAAAGGGTTTTTTAAATGGAGACTAAAATCAAATCAGTTCTTAAACTGTCACTTTCCTATCAAAGAAATGCAGCTTGAATAGAGAGGATTTAACTATTTACTTAAAAAATATTTTTTTAAATAAAGAATTTATGTTGTTTCATTGATCTCTTTCATTATCAACATAACTTATAAAACATATATTCCTGCCGGGACCGGTTTGGCTCAGTGGATAGAGCGTCGGCCTGTGGACTGAAAGGTCCCGGGTTTGATTCTGGGCAAGGGCATGTACCTTGGTTGCGGGCACATCCCCAGTGGGGGGTGTGCAGGAGGCAGCTGATCGATGATTCTCTCTCATTGATGTTTCTAACTCCCTATCCCTCTCTCTTCCTCTCTGTGAAAAATCAATAAAATATATTTAAAAAAAAGGAGTGTAAAATACTTAACAGCACATCTCTTAAAAACACACACACACACACACACACACACACACACACACACACCAAAAAACCCCAAAAAAACCCACCCATATATTCCTTTCTGGAAGAACTTCAATCACAACAAAAGCTGGGCATTTTTAAAAATATATATATATTTTATTGATTTTTTACAGAGAGGAAGAGAGAGAGATAGAGAGCTAGAAACGTCGATGAGAGAGAAACATCGACCAGCTGCCTCTTGCACACCCCATACTGGGGATGTGCCCGCAACTCAGGTACATGCCCTTGACTGGAATCGAACCTGGGACCTTTCAGTCTGCAGACCAAAGCTCTACCACTGAGCCAAACCGGTTTCAGCTAGAGAGATTCTTGAGTTTGTGAATTGAGATTAGGCACCAATAGGCTAGTTTAGCTATGGCTGAAGGACTATCACTTGAGATAGTAGGCATTTCCAACCTAAGACATTTCTACCCTCCTCACCACCCATCTAAAAAAAATAAAATGAAAAGGAAGGGAGATCATACCAATGAAGTGATTCAGGCTCTTATTTTCTTGTGGTATCTCCTGTCTCCAAAGGCACATTTTCTTTTACTTCATGAGTTCATAGGGGTTACCAGAAAGTTCCTTAAGATGGAACGAGTTGATAGACCAGTTTCTCCAGGTTGCCTCAGTTGGTGGGTGAGGATTCTTTCCTTCCTAAGATGAAAGGAGTTTGCTTTTACATTTTCTGGGTAGACCAGTTTTAAGAGTCCCATTCTTTCCTGAAACCAGCTGGAACCCCTCCAGACACTGGGATCCAGACCCCAGAGTGCGGAGATGGTGTCATTGACTCACTCACACTGTCATTCTGTATTATTTGGGACTCCTGGTTATAAATGACGGAAAGTCACCTTGAATCTGTTTGAATTGGGGAATGTATCACAAGAATATTGGGAAGTTTCTCAGAATCCAAGCATAGGAAGTAGGCCCCAGGGACAAATAGAATTGGCATTCCAGAATTTCTGGGACCCTCTTCTCCAACTGACATCGGCTTTCATCCTTCTCCCTCCACAGACAGGCTACCTCTGCTCCTCCACTACTTCCTGAGCTATGGCATCTTGCAGTCCAGACACAATAAGAGACACCGTGTAGCTTCTCTTTCTCAGTTCTGGTTCCAAAGTTCCTGGAAGGGAACTTTTCTTGGCTTGGCTAAGAGCCAAGACTGAGCACCCACAACCCGAAAACCTGGCTGAGTTGAGTCACATAGTTACCCTGACCAACCAATCAGATGAGGCCAGGAGAGTGAGGTCACATTGTACTAACATGACCACATTGTAAATTCAGAAAACAGGATGCTTATTAAGCAAAAATTAAGCTAATTAACCAAACCAAAAAAAGTGTTCACTACCTATTCTCTTTTCTATATCCTGCAAAAGTAAATGAGAATTATGTAGGTGCTATTTTGTCAACAAACAAGTACCGAGCACCTAACTATCTTGGGTCTAACTGCCTCTTGCCAATCCTTTTGTTCTTATTGTGTTCTCCAAGACATTGCTTAAAGGCCTTTTCCTATAGTTTTCAGCCCTTAATCATGCCTACCTCTTCTGCATTCTCCATGGCTAGTCTGGCTGTCTACTTTACTGAGATCAAGACTGTACCTCACCATCTCTCATCCAACTCCTTTGCTACTAAAATAAAGGTCCTTGTCACACATCTCTCCTGCACAATTTCTCCTTTCCCACTTTTCCTTCACACAGGTTTTCTTCCTCCAGCTTTTTGTGAGTGTCTAGAGGTAATCAAATCTTTGAGACAGGGTCCTGGCCTGGTAGCTCAGTTGATTAGAGCATCATTCTGATATGCCAAGGTTGTGGGTCCAATTCCCAGTCAGAGCACACATAAGAAACAACTCATGAATGCATAAATAAGTGGAACAACAAACCTCTCTCTCCCTCCCTCTCTCTCTCTCTCTCTCCTCAATAAAGATCTGTGAGAGAGATGCAAGCTAAATGAGAATACAACAGAAAGTGAGGTAGATGTTAGAATAACAACTTACCAATTTAGATGAGTAATCTCTGCCACAAAGAATAGAAATACTTAAAAGTGGTTGAGTAGTGCATTCTCTTCCTTTAGTCAAGCCATGTACAAAGCCAAGTCATAATTTGAAACATTTTTTGGTTTATTCTAAGGAATCCATGCCACAGCCACTGAAAATACCCAAGGTGTCTGTGTGGTGAAATAATAATAATAATAATAATAATAATAATAATAATAATAATATAATAAAAGCCTAATATGCAAATTGACCAAACAGCAGAACAACCGATGAACAACCAGTCACTATGATGCACAGTGACCACCAGGGGACAGATGCCCAAAGCAGGAGCTGCTCCCAGCCTGCAGGCCCCAGGCCAGCCAAGGTGGGTGCCAGTGGGGGGGCCCCCTGATCGCCCTGCTGGTCACCCCACAGAGGGAGGCAACCAGCAGCAGTGTGGGATGGGGCCGGCAAGTGGGCAGTGCCAGGCCAGCCAAGATGAGTGCCAGTGGAGTCCCCAATCGCCCCACAGATCGGCCCTAATCACCAGCCAGGTATGGAGACCCTGCCCAGGCACGAATTTAATGCACCAGACCTCTAGTAATAATAATAATAAAGTGAGCTGTTTGGTGCCTTCTGGGTGGTTTTTTCTATACAGAAAAGACTATTCAAAAGTTTACTTTTAGTTTTGTCTAATGGCAAAAAGTTTGCAGGAGTCCAGCAAACTATGGCCTAGGTCAAATCTGCCTACTCCAATTTGTATGGCCCATGATTTAAAAGTTGTGTTTACATTTATAAATGTCGAAAAAAAAATGGAGCCAGAGAGTAATATTTTGAGACATGAAAACTGTCTGAAATTCAAATATCAGTGTGGTTGCCACAGAGACCTTATGTCCTGCTTGTCTAAAATATTTACTATGTCGGCCTTTCCAGATCCCTAGTTTAAAAGATTGGTGTTCAGTTTATTAAAACAACAAACTCAAAACCTTAGCGTGTTTTTAGGCTTTTAAAAAACCAGGTGGTTACACAGCCATGAAACCACAACCACCACAATCAAGATAACAAACATTTCCATCACCTCAAAGAGCGGCTCCCGCCTCTGCTCCCGGAGCCAGGAAACCACCGATCTGCTTCCTGTCACTACATTTTTATTTGCATTTTCTAGAATTTTATAGAGATAGATTCATACAGTAAGCAGTCTTTTGTGTCTGGCTTTTTTTTTTCTTCTTTCTTTCTTTTTTTTTTGGGGGGGGGGGGGAGGTGTCCAGATTATACAGATTTTGAAATTCTTTCATGTTGTATCAGTAGTTTATTCCTATTTATTGTTATGCTTAAAGAAACTTAAAACCTTACATTTTAAAGTTTCTGTATTATGCCAAAACCGGTTTGGCTGTGGATTGAAAGGTCCAGGGTTTGATTCTGATCAAGAGCATGTACCTTAGTTGCGGCCACATCCCCAGTAGTGGGTGTGCAGGAGGCAGCTGATGGATGATTCTCTCTCATTGATGTTTCTAAC